TTTATAATTTTAGATGCTTCTGGCTTTAAATTAGGTAACTCCAATGATTTGATGAAAAAACAAGAAAGGCAATAAAAGTCCCAAACATAAAAACAAAGAATTATCAAGAATGTTATTACTAAGAGGAAAGACCAAAGTATTTTTCAATGATTTCTTTATCCTTTCTAGCATGCTTATATAAATTATAAAACGTCATAAGTTATAAAACGTCATAAGTTATAAAACGTCATAAGTTATAAAACGTCATAAGTTATAAAACGTCATAAGTTATAAAACGTCATAAGTTATAAAACGTCATAAGTTATAAAACGTCATAAGTTATAAAACGTCATAAGTTATAAAACGTCATAAGTTATAAAACGTCATAAGTTATAAAACGCATAAGTTATAAAACGTCATAAGTTATAAACGTCATAAGTTATAAAACGTCATAAGTTATAAAACGTCATAAGTTATAAAACGTCATAAGTTATAAACGTCATAAGTTATAAAACGTCATAAGTTATAAAACGTCATAAGTTTAAACGTCTCAAAGTTATTAAAAATTTTAAATTATTTTATAAAACGTTAAGTTATAAAACGTATAAGTTATAAAACGTCATTTTTTTAAAAATTTTAAGTTATAAAACGGAATTTTAGTTAAAATAAACGTCAAAAGTTATAAAAAAAAAAAAGTTAAAAAAAAAAAAAAGTTATACGTTTTTTGTTATAAAACGTGTGATAAAGTTATAAAACGTCAATAAGTTATAAAACGCATAAGTTATAAACGTTGTCGTTATAAAGTTGCCATCCATGGCTGGTTATAATTTACCCATAAGTTATAAAATCTTTCCAAGGGTTATCATAAGTTACTGAAAAACGTCATAAGTTAATGGTCTCAAACTTGATTAAAAAAATTTTAAATTATTTTATCTAAATGTTAAGAGGAAAACTTAATTATTCTTTGAGTATTTTAAAGCATTTTTATATTTTTTTTTTATTTTAATCCTTTCTATCACAGCTGGAATTTTTAGCTAAAATTTTTTGAGTCAAAATTTATTTAAATAAAAAAAAAAAAAAAAAAAAAAAAAGTCATGTCACCATTTTTTGATCAGTCACTCATGTTCCATGCATGATACATATTTAAGCAGTCAAGTGTCTTCCGATACATGACTGATAAGGCAGATTATTTCACCCAGTAGGTTGTCGTTTCTTTCTGTGGTAGACTAGTTGCCATCCATGGCTGGCTGTCCTATTTACCCATAGCTGGGTTTAAGAGGATTCATATCTTTCCCAAGGGTTATTAGCACGTAATTGAACATAATGGATTTGACTGGAATCCAGACTTGGCTCTGATTCCTCTGAGCTGCTATCCATTACCCCACTTTGCCTCAGTTTTGTAAAAAAGCAAAATCCTCAGTTTAAAAATCTTGTAAAATTCAATATTTTTTCAAAAGTTACTTTGTTTTAAAGTCTTAAAAAAAAAAAAAAAAAATTTAATTTGAAACAAACATTACTTAATTATTTAGCAGAAAAAAATAAAAACTTTGGTTTAAATATGAGGCCTTTTTTGTCTAACTTTTTGGTGATTGGTTTTGGAGGCATGTTTGTTTGATGTTTACATCAATGTATCAACAACTAACATCAGGGCAAAAAATTTATTGGACAAAATCTTAAGGCAGAAGTAACAGTATTTTTTAAATTTTAAGTGTTAAAAGCAATTATTAAGAACTTTATTTAAATATAAAGTAATTCTTAAAATTATATACTTAAAAAAAAGCTGATATTTGTTTGTTTTTTTTTTGTACCCTTTTAACAAAGATATGCCCAAAGCTATTTTTTTTGAATATTGTTTAAAATTCCCTCAAATTGTCCAAAAAATACTCAAAAATTAATAATTTCAGATATATCTGTTGTTTTTGATGTTTGTTTACAAAAAAGTTTAAATTTAAAAAAAAAAAAAAAAAAAAAAAAAAAAAAAGTAAAATATTTAGTGAAATAGGCTTATTTTTGAAAAATGTTTTTTTGAAAATACACTGATGGCCAGTCAGAGAATTTGATAGAAAAATCAATGCAATTTATGAGGCTGGATCCTCACTCTAGGACACATGGCATCAGAATTGTGCTTCTGTAGTTTTGTCAGATTTTTGGCATATTAAAAAAATTGTAATAGAAATGCTTTGCAGATTGTAATAAGCTTTCAAGTTTATGATCTATAAAAACAGATCTTTAATAAGATTAATTTTTTTACAGAGATACTCAGATTTTTTAATTTCAGAATACTTAACTTTATCACTTTTTTATTTAAAGAAAAAAAAAAAAATTGTTTCCAAATTACATTAAGAAAACTTTAAATTTCCTAATTTTCCTCAAATAAATTTTAAAAAGTATAATTGATTTTCACAAGATTTTTAAATGGAGAATTTAACTTTTGTTTACAAAGTCTTAAAAAAAAAAAAAAAAAAAAAATGCAGACATTTTCATCAAAAAATTTTGCATATTGATAAAAACTCTAAAAGATTTAACTAAAATTCCGGATGCGCTAGGACGGATCACAAGAAAAATAAATAAAAAGTACTTTGGTCTTAAACATTTGTAAGATTGTTTATAAAAATATATTTTTCATCACGGTACACTTTTTTTTTAGCGAATTATTTGAGATACGTATGTTTGTTTTATCGCTCTTATTTTCTGATGTTATATGATCATACGTATCTACAAAAATCGGTACACATACAAAAAAATTGTAAAAATTCATTACTGATCGAAAATCTTAAGACAATAGTGTCCTTATGTGTTCGTTTTAAATGCCAATTAGTGTAAAGTTAGACGTGTTAAAAGCAATTATTAAGAACTTTATGGAGTTGAGTGTCAAAATAAGTATATTTACATTCAGTGTTGTCTTTAAAAATACGGTCAAGTTCACAGTACTTGTTGAATTAAAGTTTAAAATCCGAATTAAATGAAATTGTTTAAAATTCTTGTATAAAACATTACCGAATTAAAGTTGATTGTTAAATTGTTGCATTATACAAATCAATTTAAAAGTCATGACAAACCAAAGCCACTAATGTTCAAATAAAAATTTGAAAGAAAACAGACCAGCAAGAAAATAAAAATAACGTATTCGAGAAGTAGTATTCAATCAGAATAATCGAGATCGTGATTACGAAAAAAAGAAAAGAGTTCTAATATAAGGCCCAAGAGCTGCTCAAGGTAGAGCGTTATTGCATTAGGTTTTATGAGCTTTAGTTTAAAATGTCAATTGAATTTTAAAGTCAAAGTATCGAGGAGTTTATGCTTTGAAATCCGATATTCCTTCAATATCAAGTAAATTAAGGTCAAGAGTCTTCCGAGAACAGTCAGATGTGGAGAAAAAAAATCTTGGTGAGAAATTAAAGTCTAGACAATGTGAATGGTTCAATTACGCTGTGAATACGAAGAAATAGAAGAATAAGTAAGCAACTGAAGCCCGTTTACATAAACAATGATGCAATTAAAACTTTACGGAAAAGGGAGATAAATAGTTAAATCAAAATAGCTAGAATATTCCATTAAGTTGAAAAAATAAAAAAAAATTAAACAGAAAAAACTTAATACAAATTAGATTTTACTAGCTTAAAATAAAAATTAGATTAATTAAAACTAAATGAAAGCACGGAAGAGATATCTCTTCCGTGCTTTCATTTAGTTTTTTTTTTCTTTTCAATAAAGTCCTAAATTCTATATTTCCAGAAACAGCTAAAAATACTAATTTAAAGTGGATTTTTATGTCCATTGCGATACATTTTTAAGACGCCAAATTAAACGATTTTCTAATGTTCAAGTAGAGTTTAAAAGAAAGAAAAAAAAATTATGTAAGATTAGACTTAAAAAAATTATTAAAAAAGCAAATCGAAATCTAGCAAACAAAAAGTCATCGTCATCACGGATTAGGATTTTTACTTTTATTCTTTTTAACAGCTAATGAAATCGGCGAAATTTTCCTTAAAAGGGAAGAGAAAAAGTTGTTTGACAATATTTACTATAGTTAGAATTAAAAATAAAATAAATTGTTAAGCTGCTAAAATAATTACGATGGGGGGGGGGACTTCCCTTGCATTCATTTTAGTAAACATTCGAAGTCGAAAGGAATTAAGTGTTTGAAAGAATGTTTTTTTTTTTCTGAAACCATTAGACAGTGAAAAGGCAGATTTGATTTTTTATTTAAAAATTAGTAAAAAAAATTTTAAATAAGTTTTGCGATATTCATTTTCCTTAATTAGTAAAAAAAAAAAAAAAAAAAAAAAAGATAAATAGCTTTTTGGGAACAATTTTATTTATATTTCTTAGAAGTAAAAAAAACAAAAAAAAAACTAAAGAGTAAAATATTTACTACGATAAACTTGTTACCTAAAAAAAAAAAAAAAAAAAAAACCTTACCAAGAAGATTAAAAATGAATCTATTATTGATATAAACTTGTGAGGCATAAAAATTAAAAATATGGTGAAAGCGATGAAGCGTTTAACGAAGATTAGGTTTTAATTTCTCTCAAACTAATGAAGGTACTAAAATTTTCCTGTTAGAATATTCATAAGAAAAAAAAAAATGATTGTTTTTTTCCACCCACTGTATATTTAGAGTACAATATTATGCAGTACGTAGACATGTTTTTGTACTTCACTGTTCAGTGTTCATCCTTTTTCCCTGTCAATATTCCCAGATGATTTTCTCCCGACAAAAAAAAAAAAAAAGAAAAAAAAAATACATATTCCACAAAATTTTCCTTCCAACTTGATTCATCTGTTAATGAATTTTACTAAAATAAAATCGGAGGATTCTTCCACTAAAGAAGAGAAAGAAATACAGCGATAAAGAAAAAAAAAAACAAATCAATTGTTTTTAAGAGTTAAAGACACAACACACGGAGTCCATTACAATTCTGGACAGAAAAACGCTTTGATAAAGAAGGGCGATTTATGTTTAAATCACAAAATAAACAAAGACAATCAAAATAATAATTGACATTTTCAAACCTTACCTTACTACAATAAAATGATGCTGCTACAATAAATATCTCCTAAACTCAAAATGTCGTGCTTTCTTACTTAATACCAGGATTCAGTTATCCGCACCACCACAAACCCTTAATACACACAGGAAGGCGGAAAGACAGAGCACCAATATTTCCCAGCATACACCAGAGCTTCGTCTCTCTTGCTTTATTTGTCTTTTAGAAAAAAAACATCCAAAATTTTACAATCTAAGTAATATTTCGGAATATTTTTCTAATATTTTAAATTATAACGAAAAATATTTCAAAACGACATTAAAAGTTTTTTTTATTTTAATTTTATTTTCCCTTGAACGCTTGTGATCTCATCTGACACGTGATCTCCAGTGTTCATATATTTAAATAATCAATAAATTTTTGAATGAATATATTTCAAATATTATAAGATAAGCATAAATATAAATAATTTCTTTGGATATAATGCAATAAAATTTAATAGATTAAATCCAAATAATAGTTTTCATTAATTTCTCGTCATGAAGAGAGTTACGTCACGTGACTCTCATTTTATACCGCATACTACGAGAGGCATTCAAAATGGAAACTCCTTCAGAGACAAAAGAAGAGGTAAAAGACAGATCGCATTTAATATCAAATTTTACATTTCAAGCATATTACATAGCAAAAATGGCAACTTCTCTTATTGTTAGCGGTTGTTATTTTTCTCTTAAACATTGATCAGATTAGGTCAAATTGAAGCCACATGTTAGTGTTACTAACGCTAGTAACCACGTGTTTTTGTATGTACATAAAAAGTAGCCGTTGGCAGCATTAACTTTTTTCATGAAATATGAATTGAATTTTTATGAGATCTCTTGTTATTTGTTTAAATTCCTTTACCTTTTTTACTTTAATCTTACGTAAACTGTAACAACACTTACATTATTTATAATAAAGTTTTGTTTTGCTTTTCACGAGGAAAACAGTAAAAGTAAAATCGTACTTCTATTTTCCTCTGCAAAATCTTATCGAATTTCGATCGGAATGCTGAATGAGTGAAGAAAAATGCTTCTGGTCTTAACGACTTATTTTAGTGTGTAAAAAATTTAAATCTAGCTTTCGTTTAGGAGAAAGCATTGAGCTGAGTCATACACGGTTTAAGTGATTGTAGAATTTAAAGTGATAAACCTTTGTTGATTATGCAAGGAATTATGCAACTTTCAAATTGTTTACATTTGTTTTCCTTTAACTTTTAAATTTGTAAAAGGGATAGAACTCTGAACAGGGTGAAAAAATTATATTGGAAATTCAAGTGTCAAATTTTACAAACAAAATTTTCGTAACAATCCTATTCGCGTGCCCTTTTAAAAAAAAAAAAAAAAACAGAGTATTGACAACAATACCATAAAAAACTTTCTTTATTGTTTTGTAATTTTGTTAGTCTCGTGTTTTTTATCATTACAAGCTACCATACAATTAACTAAAAAAAAAGGTATTTTTTTGTAATATTTGCGGTATCTCTAATACATAAAAAAACAACTGTGGTCATCCTCTTTAAAACATCGTTTGACGCTTAATTTCTTACTATTTCTTAAAGCTAAGAATTTTTTTTTAAAAAAAAGAAAGAAATATTCATTATGAAACCCTTCGCTGGCCAGTACTTTCTCCATGTTTATTGAGCAGGAGATATTTTTCACTCTGGTTTTTTTACTGATTTCATTCTTCCATGGATGCAGCGTAGGCCGCATGATCTATGGCTCATCACAATGCGGGTCGCGCTACTAAAAAAATTCATGGTAATTTTTCATAGTGCGTAAGCAAAGTTTTATTTTTTAGAGAAGATTTTTTTATAATTAAAAAATTGAAGTCTTTATAATCGATTTTATTTTTCACTGATGACAGTATGTTTAGCTTAACACGTCGTTGCGTGTGATTTATTTCTAATTTATTCACTTGAAAATTAAAACATTTCTTTAGAGAAAAAAATTTATGAACGTTTCCTTTTTCAAAAGAAAAGGATGTTTACACGTATGATCTTCCATAATGAAAATTGTTTAAATGGTTTAAAATGCTGACAACGTTAGACTCCCCCCCCCACACACATTTTACTAAATTTCAGAAACATCATACTTTAATCATTGTTTATATATGAGAGAATGTGTGAGTGAACAAGTGAGAACAAAACAAAATTTTAAGAAATGTTATTTTCCTTAGGAAATTAAGCATGCTGTTCAGAAAGACCAAACATGACTGCTTTAGGGAGTTCCTTTAACCTTTTGGTGATATGACTGATCAGTGGCTGTTATTTTCATGATATGGTTGGCAGTTTTTTTTTTTGTTTTTTTTTGTTACTTCATCATGACTGGTAGTATGAAGCCCAAACTCTTTGGTAGTGCTTAGAGTGGCTGCTCTGGTTGACAGTCACATAATATTGAGGTATTTGTAGTGCCATGTTGCACATAGATAGGAGTTCCTGCATGTACCTCTGATGGGCAACACTGATATCACATTATGCTTTAGTCTTAGTCATCTTCTGGCTATTTTGTATTGCCATAGACAATGGATAGTGATAAGTATTTTGACTTTTTTCTCCTTAAAACTGTTACAGTTAAAAGAAATAAGAGCATCTGGACTTGATGATATCCTTGTTATAGGCTTTAAGAAATGTATTCCTAAACTGGCTCCTATTCTCTCTAAAGTCTACAATAAATGCCTTGCTGCTTCTTGCCTGTAGGAAATCCTCTGTAGTTCTCGTCTTTAAGAACTCTGATGAACTATCTGATCCTTCTATTGGACTATTAGCCTTCTGCTTCTTTTTGGCAAAATACTAGAAGCTGTAATCAACACTAAATGAGTTAAACATCTCATCTCGTAGGGTTTTCTTTCAGATAAGCAATATTGCTTTTGCTTCTCTAGGTCAACTAATGTATTAACGGTTATTGCTGAAAGAGTCTATCAAGCTTTTGATAAGTGAAGCGTGGATTGTTGCTTTGGATATCTCAAAAGGATTTAACAGGATTTGACATGCTAGTCTTTTTCACTAGCTGAATGGTTATGGTATTTTTGATCAGATTCAGTCTTTCTTATCAAATCACAAAATGAATGTTGTCTTGAATGGCCACTCTTCTAGATGTTTTTCCATTAATGCAGATGTCCCCCAAGGCTCTATCCTTGAACTTGTGTTGTTCCTAATTTTCACCACTGACCTTTCTGATGTCATTAGTTCTCAACTCTCTATGCTGATGACAACTATTTATTCCTGTCTTTATGGCAACTCTGATTGGTTCAATAAGTTCACTGTGTTCAAAAATGGCCTACAGTTTGTTGCTAACTGGGGTAAGAAATGGCTTTTTAATTTTAACACCTCAAAAACAAATCTGCTCTCTTTTAATTGTCTAAAAGAACCTTTTTTTTTTTTTTTTTTGCCTTTCATCAGCATGGTTGATGTTAATCTCCAGATGACTGATTCATTGAAACTTCTTGGCTTAACGTTTTCTGTTGATATGAAGTGGAAAGATTATATCAAATTAATTGCAAGGTCTGCTAGGAAAACTGATTTGTTGTGTCATGTCAGACAATTTTACACATTTATAAATCTACCATTTGTCCATGCAATGAATATTGTTGCTATGTCTAGTCTAGTGCTTCTACTATATATTTAGAGATTCTTGATAAAATCCAAAGAAGAATCTGCACTGTTATTGCTCCTGAGCTGGTATCTCAGTTCAGTTATTTTCCCATTACTGTAATGTAGCTTTCCTGTGCCTTTTCTATAAATATTCTCATGGTAATTATTTTGATGAACTGCATGTACCTTGACTTTATGATATTTAAGCACAGTACCAGATTGGTGGCAAGGTCTCATTTTAAAGTTGAAATTGTTAGATGTAACCATAAGTCCTATCCTAACAGTTTCTTCTATGGCACTTCTCACTTGTCAAACTTTCTTCTTCTGGCTTCTTGCTTTCCAGTCTACTTTGATCTTCAAAAATTTAAATGCAATCACAATTGTTATTTCCTGACTTTTAATTACTGTTCTTTTATTGTTTTCCTTCTTGAACGTTTTCTTTATCTCATATTCTCTTGCACTTGGTAACCCCTTGTATCTTAATGGCTTTGCCTTGCCTGGGTTGAAATGATTTAAAAAAAAATATCAAATGAATGTTAATAATTAGCTCTATATCATTTCAACAAACATTCAACACTAACAAGCTTAAAAAGAAAAAAAAATCTGACAAGCTTTCATTTTTGGAAAAAATATTTTGGATGGTAAAAATAAAGAGGTGGTAATTTGTTAACGTGGTTTTGTTTGTTTTTTTAATTTAGTATGAATTTGAAAAAAAAATCATTTTTATTTATTTTTTTGCTTAACTTTACCAAAGCAAACAATTTTTAACCTAGATCTCTAGTTGTGAATAAATTAATGCAATATTATAAAATACCACAAACATTTCTGTTTAAAAAGTATAACTTAAGACAACACCTATCTGTTTGTATCTCTCTTTCTCTCATACAAGCAAATACTGAAAAGTTCTGGGTCCAACCAAGTCCTTCTCCATGCCAAGTATTATATTGGGTCAAATTTTGGAAGTAAATTAGGCTGAGAACTTTTCGATCGCTGTCATAAAGTGGTTTCATGTATTTACTACTCATGCAACTTTTTTATTAATGAAATATTCTATTCTTATTATAACAAGTATTACTCAATGAGTAAATGAACATATCTTTCATAATACTGAAATATGTAAAGAAGCTGGCTGCTAATATATAATTTTTTTTTCTTTGTTAGTTTTCTTTGGATAACAATTTAACAAGTAGAATTCTTTTTTTTTTTTTTTCATATGACAGTAGTTGTTTCAGTCAATATTTGAGAGTGAATGTGCAAGAGTTGTAATGGATAGAGGCTTAGAGTAAAAAAATTGGAAAGCCAAGATCAAATTCCATTCACATTACATGGAAATGCCCTCGGGGGGAAAAGTATGGATTCATCTCTCTCTCAGACATGGGTTAAATAGAACTACCTGGAAAAATCATTGTTAATCTCAAAAAATTGTTAATGTATTTTTCACTCTCCAAAAAAGAATTATCCATACAATATAAAATATTTGGGCTTAAAATAAGCCACAATGTGTTGATAAGCTGTAAAGAAAAATCAATCAATAATATCTTAGATTACTTTTGCTGACAGTATAATCAATATAATTGCAAAATTACTTAAATATTGTCATTTCTTGACAGGTTAAACATATCCATATAAAACATTGCATTAGGATTTTCAATTTCATAAAACTTAACTCTTGATTTTTACATTTTCCTTAAAAATTATCAAACATGGTCAAAATACTGGGAACTTTACATTCAGTTTTGGCAAATTCCTTTAAAAGTTTCCACCTGACATGAAACTACAGTATCTGTCTATATTTCTGAGATGAGGTATTATGTACATTATTTACATTATTTGGACTATTGTCCTCATCTTTATCACCATATTTATTACAATGTTTCGGCCATTGTACACTCCAGCCTTCTTCAGGTGGTTGGAATGTCGAACTTAGCCCTTTATTTCGCTCACTAGGGTAGACTGTTCTAGTTCCACGTGCCATGTTCAAGGACACATGGCACATTGG